AGCAAAAGGTGTTGCATCGCACCGGTACAGTAGATGCAAAGATGCTGATCATTCACATGTAGAACAATATATTTTGTCATTCAGCAAGCGTGCTTCCAAACTGTGAGAGTGAGAGTCTTGCGAAAGTGCAGGATAGGGGTCACACGCGGCAAGTTGCCACGGGCCTTAGAAGAAATATCGCAGTACAGTCAAAGTAGCTGCTATGGTAGCGCACGAACTCTACAAGTGCAGTTATCCTAGATCCCGGTTCGAAACTCTAAGTCCCTTAAGGCTGCGGCTAGACCAAAACACACGTGAGAGTCGAAAGCCCAAAACCCTAAACCTGGAGAGTGGCAGCTCCCGCACCCCCCCAAAAGAGCCTTCAAAACCCCTTTGTAGACACCCTTCTTGAATCCCTACAGTCATTGGCCTGTGCAAAGGTCACCGAGGCTTCCGAGGACTTGCATAGCAGACGTCTGAAATTCAAGAGAAGTTGGCACTCACTCTGGTCACACTCCTCTTTGGAATCGTAATCCCTCCCCATCCCCAATCTGCGCATGACATCCGTAAGATGAGACTTCAGGGCCTTGTGCATGGAACATGTGCTTCTGCGGGATCTGTATCAGAAGTCTGGATGAATCAGGAGGTCGCAAACGAGAATGTTTGACTCGGAATTCCTCTCTGGGAGTGCTTTCGTTTGAAGTCGCCGGTCAGGGCCTAAATGCCCCCAAAAAACCGAAGCCCCAAAAACTTAATCACCGAAAGCCCATGCCCCAGAGCCGAAACTGCGTGCGACCCAGTCCTGACATGTTTAATATAGGGGCCTAAAAAAATTACTTATAGTGGGGGGGGGTCCATATTCTAATTGTAGTATAATGGGCCCCAAAACCCTATTCTAATGATTCAGGCCCCTGCATTATACCAACTCGTAAGGTTTGATGCCGCGAACCCGCCTGGATTGTCCGATTGCGAGTGTCAGCTGTCCATCATACCCCTCCAAGCCGTGAATCCCTCAAAGGTGATTAGGGTTTAGGGTTTAGGGTCAGGACACTTCCACTTCACCAGGCAACACCATCCCTAAGGGTCCAAGTACCCATTAGTTAAGGACTTTGGGGCCTTTTGGGGTACTCAAAACCATAAATAAGGACTACTTGGACCCTTAGGGCATTATACCCTGACAGACCTCGCCTGGCTAGTCCGAGGTGTGATAGCGTTAACCCCTAACCCTCGCAATTTAGCATTGAACCCAAGCCAATTCATGCCCCTTCAAGGGTTTTAGGGTTCAGGGTAGAGGGTCTGGGGTTCGGGTCCGCGAGAGAGAGGGTTCAGGGCTTAGGAAGCCGCACATCCTTCAAATTAACCCTAAACCCTAAACCCTAAACCCTAAACCCTATGTCAAAGCTGTGCAGGACAAAGCAGCTACGGCTCCCGGAGGTCCCGGCCAAGCCCCCTGCGAGGAGATCCCGGAGGAAATCTCCGTGCAGGCCAAATTTTCTTGGCCCTGTACGGTTCCCGAAAAAGGCTCTTAAAGGGTTAGATAAGGCGGGTTACCATAAGGGTTCTAGAAGGACTCCATGATGGGTTGTCTTGTCGATGTGACCCCATTACTTTGCGCATATGTATGTATGTATGTATATAT